TATACGTATAGTATATATATATATATATATATATATATATATATATTATATATATATATATATTATATATATATATATATATATATATATATATATATATATATATATATATATGCGTGCTATATATATGGACTGTATATATATATATATATACGTGCTCTTTATATTGATTGGCATAAAATTTATCGCGTGTAAGTTTGTCAATTAGCTGGTATATTATCCCCCAGAGTGTGTCCGAGCTTAGGACAGCCACAAAGTTACATTATATGCGAAACTCTCAAACACACTTCACTAGGTAGTGGGGAGGTCTCTATGTGTGACTACCACTTGACACCTGGGACCTTCGATGTACATGAGGTCCATCCGCTACTGTCACCCGCAACAAGAATGAACACCGTGCCAGTTTTAATGGTAGTTAGTGCCTATACGACTACACTTGAGAAGCTGACAGGCGTTGGGGAGATTTAGGGAGTGGATGGGCGGGCACTAAGTATTTGACCCTTCACACTTCATATGTGTCACGTACCTGGGAACACGCTCTGCCAACCGCACAGTCGGCAGTCACAGACACGAGGGTATTCCAAACACTCACCATCCAGAACCATCCGACATGGAATAGGGAGGCGCCCATAGAGGATCAAAAGGACCACACAAGGGCAGGGGCGGGAAATTCAACAAACGTGAGCATCGGAAAGAACAAACGATCAATTTGGGGCGGAAGCAGACCCAATCGCGACGTTTGGGGCCCTCTGATGGAAAAGCGGACTTGATTGCACCCGCTATGGTGAGCGTCTATCAGTGCGTGGGATGTAATCTGTTCCTAGGTGCAACCAGGGTGTATCTCTGTGTTCTGATGTGATATGAATTCCCTAGATAGCCTTCTGTGATTTTCTCTCGCTGTGTAACCATATATAGTACTTTGCGACCCCTGTTTTCTGACCCAGGACTCCCTTCGAGGACATTTAGATACTCGTCGTTCGAGAGTGTGGTTCTGATTCTGATTCCGCATTCCATTTCCCCGCGGTTTTATATTCTGCAGAAAGGGACCGAACTGTCATCTGGCGTTCGCAAATTAAACCTGAACGACGAAAAGGGTAATCCGGATCCAAAATCCAATCCGGAAGAAGGGCTTCCCTTTTCCAACCCCGATTTGGAAACCGGAGTATTGAACCCAAAATCTGGTGGGAATGGCGACGCAGCCAGGATTAGAGAGGTTTTAACTCAAATGGTAGACAAGGTGGATAGGGCCACCACTCATCTCACACAGGTACGCGATTGGGGGGCGGGCAAGATGACTTACCTTGCACGTCGCATTGGATTCGTTGTGTGCTGACTTCCTAGTAGGTCTCCCCATACTTTCTGAGGGTTCCCTTGTAGGTCTCCCCATACTTTCTGAGTGTTGCCTTGTAGGTCTCCCCATACTTTCTGAGGGTTCCCTTGTAGGTCTCCCCA